TATTTATATATTTATTTTATATGCATGAACAGTTTGAATATCGTTTTAACTGTTTGATATCCATTATAACATATGCATGTACATTGAGATGATATAATATATATGATATGTATACCCTTTCCTTTACATGTATTGATAACGAATAATTTTATTACTTCACGAGTCACTTGTATGAAATGTTCTGATTGTTTTCAGCATTTGAATAAAAAAAATTGATAGCATAGTTTTGTTTGTTTGTTTTTCTGTTTGTGTACAAACATTAGCTGACAATTGCAATGCAGTATATATATTTTTTTTAATTTTACGTATTTTTTATACGTGTATTCAAACATCCAATCGTCCAAACCCAGTTTAATAAAATATTTTTAAATAAATAATTTTTCAAACACGACCAAAATGAAAAAATAATTGTATGAATTGATGTATGGGTGTGATGAGCAGGGGATGCACACACTTTCATTCAATTTTTCCGGTCATAAATTAAAAAAAAAGGGGGGGATTAAGCCCAATCCGTGCATCCGGTGCCTTTGCTAAAATATGCATGACAGTCAGAATTTGATTTAAAGTGTATTAGAACTCAAATCCATCTTATTTGATTTTATAGTGATTTAATTTCATTCATATCACGCAAATTTAATTTCAAAATGAAATACAAATCCTAAAAATACTTCATAAAATTCATAAAAGTTAAAAGGTCCCTAAAGCATACAATAAATATTTAATTATGTCAATGTATATAAAATCCAAACCGAAAACCGAAGGGGGAAGACTCACTATTGTCATTATGGGGGGAAGTCTCACTATATAGCCATATTTCCCCCCAGGGGGAAGACTCACTATATACATGTAGCCAGACTTCCGGGGGGAAGTCTCACTATGGCGGAAGTCTCACTATATGACACCGGTAGCATAAACTATTCTAATATACCGGTACCCGTATCAACATAATAACAAGAAACATATATTGACGCAAGCGTCAAAAATCGGCCGCAAACCAATTAATTGTTCCATTGATAAAGTAATTAGAAAATGAAATTTGCATGACCTGTTTTTAAAATTTCTTATATTTATCTATTAAAATGTCCTCGTGACATGAAACACTTGCATGCGACATTGCCGATTTTCTTCATGTATAATGCATGTACAATATTATATATTTACATTTGCAAATATCTTTCTTAGATGAACCTATTGAAGAGAAAATACGTTCAATTCTGTGTGAATTTCATTTCGGGGTCAGAAGTCATAGCGCGACTGGATCACAGAGCGATGTGATATTTTGACCAAACAACTTCTAGGTTATTGCGCGTCACTACATAGCAATACGTAGGCCCGATCGTGTAATAAATACAATTCAACTCGAAATATATTTGTTTCAAATGTAAATATAAGTAATAAACAACAATGTAAAAAAGTTCACTGGGAAATGAACTTTTAGTTGGTACGTGATCAAATCTACTGAGAAGCCCTTCGGGCTTCACAGAATTTGATCACGTGACCAACTAAAAGTTCATTTCCCAGAGAACTTTTTAACATTGTTGTTTATTTCTTAAATATGTATAAGCAAACTGTCTATAGACCTCTGCGTCTCTGCACTCAAGTTTGGTACTTATTAAATAATTGTAAACGAACCGCTCTGGTGGAAGTTTGATGTTTAAGTAGTTTTTACATAAAAGCACAGAACTAAAATTTAAACTAAGCTTTAGTTTTAGATTAATAAAAACGCAACAAATATGTAATATGTGGGGCTCCTCGATCTCTATTAGAGGATATTAACATCCCCAACTCCCTCTAGATCCACCACTACATTTCTTCTCTTTCAGTCTCTTTGTTTTGGTGTTGAGATGTGGCGGGAAAACGCATGGCACATTGTAAAACGCGCTTTATCCTAGTCTCTTGGACCAAAAAGTTGTAAGATTCTTTGCTTTTAAGAAATAAATACTTCATCAAATTTTTGAAAATTTTCCATAGTAAATGTATAAATATACACGTCAATTCAAAATGAATACAACAAATCCCGTTTAGGCTATTTAAAAAGAGAATTGTTCATTGTTAATTTACAACGCGGTCTTTGTTTTAGACTATGCCTACATATAACTTCGCCGCACTTCAATCATGTCGGAGTATGTCAATCAGGATTGGATGAAACACTTACCCCCATTATTTATAAGATTTTAATTTTATGATTATTGTGCTTTTTGTTAAACACTTTAAAATATCTTTGTTTCAACATTCTATAATATGAACGTTAAATATTTTTATTTAAATTGTTCTAACTCCGCAGAAACGCACGTCGACTTCAAACTTTCATTGCCTGACGTCACGGCGTCAGGCTGTATAAGGATTGATAATCGCTTGATCCGAAACTAATAGATCATACCCAGAGAGCTAGATTTTGTGCAAGCTGATTTACATTGGAAATCTTTTACCTGCATTTTATAAGAAATATTTTCAGGGAAACAATGATTTTACTGATGCAAAATAATGCAGTATTTACTTTGTTTACTCTGTTTGCATGAAACAGATTATTCCATGTGATTTACCGTTCAACGTGTCCGTGTATCTTTTTTTCTGCATTTCTATACTACTGGATCAGTCCACTTATGTTCTACAAAAGGGGTGAATTTCTTTTTCGCGCCAAATGTCACGAGTAAGCGATCTTCGCGCCTTTTCTTGGATTGTTCTATTGTATGAATGGGGGTGCTAACTTCCATGAAATTAAATAAAGTTTGTTATTGTAACCTCTATCCTCTTATGATTCAGAAATTCTATCAACAAATTATATCTTATTCCTTAAAACAACATATGAATCGCATGTATCAGAACATGGGCATGCAAAACAAAAGAAATGATTTCTCTAATTTGTTCCCCCTCTGTTGGTTTATTCCATATTTTAATGGACTAGTCCAATCACCACAAACGTTAACGATCGACGCAGTTCAACCAGGTTCCAGACGATTTGACGAAAGAAATTACCTGTGTGAAATCTTGGATTTCTTTTCCACAAAAGCCTAAATGTTGGTTTTACCTATTTCGTTCTCAAAAAATTATAGTACCCACGTTTCAGAAAAAAAGGATCAATTGAACACAAACTACTACTGTTTACTTCATTGGAGAAAATGCTTTCCTACAACATATGTATTTAGTTATATCCATTCTCTAAAATGTTCACAATGAATGATTTGACAACAGATTTCAGAATAGGTGTAGCTTTAAATTTAGATCCAGGGGTAGATCAATCTACTTGCAGAAAAGTCAATCGCATCATCTCGGTCTTTTCGTCAGAGGTCGAAAAACAAATTGAATGTATCCACATCATCGGATGTTAAAAATTTATACATTTCCTGTTCATAGTAAAAACGGAGTAAGAAGTCCCTTCTATGGCATACAGTGTATTTTAGATAATATTATTACATTGAATAAAGTTAACTCCATATTCCACAGAAAATAGGTCTATATACATCATCCATGCTTTTATTTCAAAGTTTGTGAAAAGTGGGGGGGGGGTGTCATGGCGTATAAATGAACAATACATTTGTGGTCTCCTTCCCTAGATAAGGCCCGAGGAGTGGGACCGAAGAGTTGCGATTGGCAGGAAACCCACATACATTAACCATTCTGTTAACAACTCTTCAGAATGCAGCAAAGGCATCGTATTTTTACAAGTTAAATAATTAAATATTTTTACAAGGTTCTCAAATAAAAAGACATATTTCAAACAAAAAAAAAGTATTGCTCAAAAGGTTTATCACTTCTCTTACAGATATTGATTGATTACGTCAGGCAAGCTTTTTGAAAAGCTGTTACTTGTATCAAGTAACCGACCGCCTCCTGGCGGCCGGTAATTACAATCTGCTGTTAGCGGAGACGCTGTATAAAGGGAGATAACTCTGTACTTGAATTACACATTAGCAATGCCCCCTTTCAATATTACACTTTGAAAAATCATAAAACCTTTATACAACAAAACTGATCTAAATGTTACAATAATGTCTACACGGACTTTACTAGTTCAGGATTGCCATCGCAGTATAATACATTGATAAAAACATTGTAATCAATAATATCATACAAATCAATGTATTGACCAGACCCCCCCCCCAAAAAAAAACAGCAACAATTGTTTTATTATATGATTCACTGATAAAATGATACAGCTCGTTACTTGTTTGCATTTAATTAAGTCCTAGCCATTTAGAAGAGAGAAGCGGAATTAATATATAAATATATAAACCTTACCAGTCATATCAATATGAAATGTTTTTATCTATTTTAGTTGCCATGAAAGAAGATATAATGTCAGTCTTTTATATAGGATAGACTTTGAAAGGAATGAGTATTATGAGGAAAACTGACAGTCGAAAAAAAGTAAAAATTGTTGTTAAGTTAAAGTTGAGAGGGGGGGGGGGGGTTCCCTCCATCCCCTCTCACCACCCGCACTCAAAACTATGCAATCGCTTATATGATTTGTTTACATGAAAAAAAAAAATAAAACATAGTCGTTTAAATACATGTAGCTTTCAAAACAATTTGTTGGATCTCAGCCAATCGGAGAGGTGGACATTATTCAATCATATAATAAAACTACAATATTATCATATGGAATTAACTTTGGAATCACTTAACACTTATATATATACTAATATATGCATTTATTTACAAATTAAAAAAGAAAATAATCTTATACTGTAACATTTTTATTTTTCAAAAAATGCAGATTTATATTTGTTTTAGCACAATTATACAACGAGTTTTACATTTTTTCCCGACTACTAGTGATGGACCTCGAGAGAGAGAGAGAGGGGGGGGGGGGCAATGTTAGACCTTTTTTGCACTGGCCCTCTCACTTTCAAAAAAAAAGTTTCGTCCCTATTTACTGAGTCATTCACCCAAAGAGAATATTCATACTTTTCCGATATTTGCAGCAACACGAAACTAGTTTTTTAGAAGGGTTTGTAAAAGGGGGTGGGGTGGAGGTAATTTTTTATATATTTGCGTCGGGATCGATGTACCAAAAACAATATTTAGAATTTCCTCGGTCAAAATGTATGCTCACAAGCGATTAAAAGCGTCATTATGCGAAGTGTCCTATCCTCCTGATCGACATCCATTGCATGTGAGACTTAACAGACTACATTCACTTCAACTTGGGATATCAAACGACAAACATGTGTGTTATTTATCCGTTGTTGCTAAAAGGGAGCACCTGGAGGAGAGTTCACTCCATTCCGCCTCCCCCGCGTCAACTCCCATTCTGGGGGATACATATCCGTTCTCTCCCTCAGCTTCATACACACAGGACCAGTTAGAAAACTTCACAGACCCAATCTCTGAATATGTCGACGTTACTGCATTCTGTTGGATCATTGATGAGCCATGCGACATTGACGAAGATGCTGGGGAAATCCAAGTGGAATGCACAGAGGACTTTGTCTCTCACTACCAGCTCGGTAGAGACGAGGACATTTACGTGCGAGGCCTTCATCTGTTTCCCATTCAAAAAGTTGTTATTGGTGTGACAGACTATATGACTTTTAAATGGCTGCAGAAGATTGATTTCAGTGCTGCAATGGTCAATGAAGTCTGCAAGCATGCTGTTCTTATAAAAGTCAATGACATCTTTCTTGCACCTTACCCTGAACAATTCTTTCATGATGATAAATTTAGTCCAGCCATGTATTATCACATGCATGTCCTGGAATGTTGTCCTTTACGTCAGGGTGTACTCTCTGTTGACACAGAGCTGGTTTTGTCTTACATCGGGGAGAAAGAGCCAGCCAGTCCCGACTCAGACTTTGTGCTTCAGAGTCCGTCAAAAGCCGTAAAAACCCTAGAACACTTTCTCATGTCAGATTTCTGCCAGGCCTTAAAACCAACATCACTAGACCTGAATGCAAAGACCATAGGAGTAAAGAAAAGTTCTTTTCGCTCAAAAATAAACAATTTGTATGGTTTTGAAATTGTACAGCAACATGTTTTATGGAGAAAACTTTTGTGCAAGGTGCAAAAGAAAACTACCTTTGATCCAATGTACATTATAGGAGTGTCCAAAATCAATATGCTACAAAGCGGTTTCTTTGAAGAGACTTTGGTGAAGGTTTCTTTGGAAATGTCGAACTCTACAGTTGTGTCATACAGACTGGCACTTGTCAAGTGTCTCTCAGACAGAGTCGCTCCATTATCTAGTGTTAATAAAGTGTATGTGTCTCCGTTATTGATATTTAATCTGCAGAACTCTTGTGGAATGGTTTCAAAGAAAGTGCCATGCAACCTTAAGATAGAGGTATAGAATCAAGAAAATATGATCGTATTTATAATGAAGCTGTTTTACAACTTTTCTGGTTCAAATAGAATTGTATGTAATAAATGTTTGATTTTATAATCCATATTGATAATATAAGCTGACTTGCATTATGGCACATAATTCATATTTCTATCTTAAAAACTAGAAAGATTTATCAAGCTATATAAGTTAGCCTTTAGACAATGTATGAATAAAGGAAGCCACATTAATGCCTAGGGTCTCATATAATATATGAAGCTAAATAAATGTGCCATTTAAGTGGGCTGACTATAATTTCCATTGCGCAATATTTCGCGCATCATAGTAAAATGAAGCTAGGCCTAGAAAAAAGATATGTTTGTTTCCGCTTTCCCGACCGACCCTAATTTATAGTGCTGACCCTAAATATTTTTTTAATTAATGCTTTTGTCCCATGATGTGCAAGATTTCAACCAGGGAATTATAGCCTCCAACTTTGCAAGCTTTTCAAGACAGAAAGAAGTTTGGGTCACCTTTCTATTATAAGTTAAGTCACAGTAATGCTTGAAAACACCATTTCTTTTGTCATTAATGTTACTTCTATACACGTTTTGATTAAAGAAGCAAAAAAAATTTTTTCAAAAAAAAAAAAAAATTGCCTACCTACCTACCCTATATTTTTTCAGCCTGAAAGTGGAAACAAACATATTTTTTTTCTAGGCCCTATTTACGGTTTAAATGCAACTTTTTCCAGTTAATTATTAAAATCAAACAAAATAAAGAAAATATAGGTATAAAAACGTAATTACAATTTGATATAACTGATTTTTTAACCGATTTTGCAATTGATAGGTAGGTTGACGTCGTTGCAGTGTGTTTTTGACGTTATGATAATCTGTAGCTCTTAAAGAAAGGGGTAATAAAAATATTATAAAAGAAAAAGTAATAAAAATACGCTCTTGAAATTTAAAACATAGAAATTTGAGAATATCTCCAATATTTTTATTATGTTTTCATGTGAATCCATTGTGTGCGTCATATTTTGTCATACTCTATAAAAGTAGTAAAATTTGCTAATTTTTTGCATTTTGAGATGCCCCCTCTGGTAACAAGACGGTAGAATTTTGTGTTTCTTACATATATTGTATAATATAGTATTGCTCATCAAATATTATAGTTTGAACAAAATGCCTATTGTAGTATTTGTATAATTTGCTTTAAAGTGCTAAAAATGGGCATTTTCCTATATAATCCTATAGTAAATGTACCTGTATTTTGAGACGGTCCCTCAAAAATACCTGGATGGTAGATTTCCCCCAAACTTTGCATGTACACAGAAGTTAATGTAAGTTATATATAGTATAAAAATGAGTTTCGCTATTGTAGTTTTCACACAATAAAACTATACTCGGCCCCCTTAATTTATCTCTGATTTTTAAAAAATATTTGTGTGGTAGACTTAGTGTGCACTGATTATTTTTGTCTTGCACTTTCATAAGAATTAAATACAACTATTTACACATAAATCTGTGCTTGACATTACAGAGATATGAGTGTACATCGAGCTGTGAACACGAGGTGGACTATGGATCCATCAGTTCCTCCTGGAACACACAGATTCCCATGGCAAAGGAAGTCAGCATTTCAATAGTTATCTCCCCTTACTACAGTCCTCGCCAGATCAAGTCCGAGGCCGTGAAGGCCTATTTCAGAGTGCCAAGGTCTAAATACAAACTATTGAGTGGTTTCTGTTAAAATAATGGCTTTTTGTTCTCTTGAAGAAAATATAAGATATGTGAACATGGTGAATAATTTTCCTTAGAAATTAAACTGACTGTGGTGATATTCAACTCCATGTTCCAAACTTTTTCATTGAAAATTGAGAGCCTTTTTTGATTATTATACGATTTATTTCTTAAACAGATTATTAACCAAAGGGGATATTCTACCTGTCCGTAGCAAAGGTATGTTATTAACATTTTGCATTCACTTAAGCATATAATCTTACATGCCTGGCTTTCACTAAACAAATTTAAAAATTGTTTCTTCTTTTTTAAGATCATAACTTTCATTTATTTTTAAAATTTTTATTTCAAAGATGACCCCGAGTTCTGCTCAGCCCTTAGTGACTCAGACCAAAGATTTCCAACAGTGTTTTTCAAAGTAGTGAAGTTGGAAGGGCCTCCATCCCTCTTCCCTAGTTTTATCTGTGATCACAGGACAACAAGAGTTGTACAGGTACGATATTATCATTTAGATATTCATTATTTATTCTATCAAATACAAGATTATGATGAAGTATAATTAACAGATACTAGTGATCACCAACATTCCTTTTATACTCCATTTTAGTTGAAACAGGTTTATATCATAAGAATAGATTTGCCTTGACATTAAGAACTGTTAGTATTCAATGCTTTATTTTTAGCTCTACTGGTCAGAGACCAAAAGAGCTTATGCGATAGTAATGCGTCCGGCGTCCGGCCGTCTGTCTGTAAACAATTTTTCAAAACGCTACTCTTCCTACAATTTTAGTCTGATTTCAATATAACTTGGCACACAAGTAGACTACACTAATTAAGATACATAAAATAGTGCATCAATTTTTGATTTCGATGAACGGTGTTGCCATGGTTACTAAAAATAGAATTTTCTGAGAAATTCCTTTAAAACGCTACTCCTCCTACAATTTAAGTCTGATTTCAATATAACTCTGCACACAAGTAGACTACACTAAGATACATAAAATAATGCATCGGTTTTTGATTTCGATGAACGGTGATGCCATGCTTACTAAAAATAGAATTTTCTGAGAAATTCCTTTAAAATGCTACTCCTTCTACAGTTTTGGTCTGATTTCAATATTACTTGGCACACAAGTAGACTACACTAAGATACATAAAATAGTGCATCGGGTTTTGATTTTGATGAACGATGTTGCCATGGTTACTAAAAATAGAATTTTCTGTGAAATTCCTTTAAAATGCTACTCCTTCTACAGTTTTAGTCTCATTTCAATATCACTTGGCACACAAGTAGACTACACTAAGATGCATAAAATAGTGCATCGGTTTTTGATTTCGATGAACGATGTTGCAATGGTTACTAAAAAAAATAGAAATTCCTTTAAAATTTTCTGATTTCAATATTACTTGGCACAAATTCACTTACATAAAATAGTGCATTGGTTTTTGATTTCGATGAACAATGTTGCCATGGTTACTAAAAATAGAATTTTCTGAGAAATTCCTTTAAAACGCTACTCCTTCTACAGTTTTGGTCTGATTTCATTATCACGTGGCACACAAGTAGACTACACTAATTTACATATAATAGTGCATCGGTTTTTGATTTCAATGAACGGTGTTGCCATGGTTACTAAAAGTAGAATTTTCTGTGGAATTCCTTTAAAATGCTACTCCTTCTACAGTTTTGGTCTGATTTCAATATAACTTATCACACAAGTAGACTACACTAAGATACATAATTCTGTGCATCGGTTTTTGATCAGTACAAACCAGCAGAGCTACAGTCTTGACAGAGACTTCTGGTTATTACTTAAATTGAAGATTCATGGTGCAAATTCATGCGTTCATGCCATTTTAAAGAACAAACCATGTTTACACTTTTGGTAAGTTAAGCCCTGAGCATTTTTTCCTGGATTTTTAGGTTGGCTCGGTCCACAGTTATGTGCCCCTGATCATGAACACTTATCTCTCTGTTCGGCCGCTCTCCTACTGGGACCAGTCCTACCACGTCCACGGAATGAACAGACACGCCGACCAACTAGAGACGCTGATAAGACCCTACCTACAGCACAGGTATCTAGGGTCAATGAGTCTCAGGTCTGATTGAAAAAAAAAATATCTAATATATATTTCCTTACGTAAATTTCTTTCAATTTTCCAACAATATTGGCCTGTTAAGTATAAAAAAGAGTGTGAGTATAAATAGTAAAGAAAAAAGTAAGTACATTGACACATGTAATTGATTTTCAAGTAAAATTTATGAATTAATACTTGTAGTCTTAAATCACAAGAGTTCTAAATTTGATTCTTCACAATTTGTTTATTGTTTACACTAGTACATCATTATTAACTATTCTTTCTTACATATATTTGCTGTGCTTCAAGAACAAAGAATATTAACACAAGGTAGCAAACGTGTTATACACTTAACCCATAACATCTCTAGGAAGCACAAATGTATTGCAGCTAGAGCATAGTTCAAGCACATTAATATACACATTTGCATGTACCAACCAACTTTGTTAAAGATACATTTCAATTCTCATCATTTATAAATTAAGTAATAGACCAGTTGATACTTTGGTTTATAAAGTTATACATGTATGTTTAACACTTTCGTCCTTATAAAAATCAAATCTTCCTCAATTTTTAGCTCACCTCAACGAAGTTGGGGGAGCTTATGTAATACCCTCGGCGTCGGTGTCGGCGTCCCAGGTTAAGGTTAAGTTTTTTGGAGCAGTTTTCTTTTTAAGTACTTTTATGTCCTATATTGATTAGACATGCATGGAAGATGGTTCTACTGTGTTTCATTGTACCATTCAAAGTTTCAGATGCTGCAGTTTCAGCAAAGGAATGACCAGGTTAATGTTTTTGGAGCAGGTTAACATTTTTGGTGCAGTTTTTGGTGTAGATTTCATTTCCAAGTTACTATATGCCCTATGTTGACCAAACTTGCATGGATGATACATCTAAGGATGCATACTACCGGGCTTGCTTCGGATGCTGGACCTGACCTACATTTTCCGGTTGAGTGAACAGGTTAAAGTTTTTGGTGCAGGTTTTATTTCCAAGTAACTATAAGTCCTATGTTGACCAAACTTGCATGGATGATACATCTAAGGATGGATACTACCAGGCTTGCTTCGGATGCTTAATCTGACCTACATTTTCCAGTTGAGTGAACAGGTTAAAGTTTTTGGTGCAGGTTTCATTTGCAAGTAACTTTAAGCCCTATGTTGACCAAACTTGCATGCATGATACATCTAAGGATGAATATTACTGGGCTTGCTTCGGATGCTGCATCTGACCTACATTTTCCAGTTGAATGAACAGGTTAAAGTTTTTGGTGCAGGTTTCATTTGCAAGTAACTTTAAGCCCTATGTTGACCAAACTTGCATGGATGATACATCTAAGGATGCACACTACTGGGCTTGCTTTGGATGCTGAATCTGACCTACATTTTCTGGTTGAGTGAACAGGTTAAAGTTTTTGGTGCAGATTTCATTTCCAAGTAACTATAAGTCCTATGTTGACCAATCTTGCATGGATGATACATCTAAGGATGCATACTACCAGGCTTGCTTCAGATGCTGAATCTGACCTACTTTTTGTGGATGACTGAAAATGTTAGTTTTTAATACATGTTTCATTTCCAATTAACTATGAGCCCTATAATGAGCAAACTTGCATGGTCGATACATCTTAGGATGCACACTAATGGACTTGCTTCGGATGCTGAATTTGACATACATTTTTCAGATAATAGACCTGGTAAAAGTTATGGTTGCAGGTCTATTAACCAAAAACCTATAAGGCTCATATAACATAGTATAAACCGAACTTGCACAAATGTTGCATCAAGAGATGAAAATCTCAAATTTGCTTCAGATGCTGGATTTTGATTACATTTTCATTAAGAAGAACTAGTTTAAATTTTTTATGTAGGTCTATTTCAAAGTATCAGATCAAAATTGCTTAAATATTTTCATTTTTGGAATGTACACTTTTTTTTTGGTTAATTGTGTGACTTTGCCTTACTTAAAGACAACATTCGTTGAGGTGAGCTCTGTAATCTCTGATTACCTATGTTTTTCTTGGAATTCAATAATTTTTTCAAAGTTTTGTTCATTGGAAATACTGTATTCAGGGAAATTTTCACTCCCATTTTATTTTGGCCCCTTTCGCCCTTGTCACAATCTAAAACGGGGCGAATTCAAAGAACACAGTATAATTTCTTAAACAGAACTGTGACTGGGCGAATTTGAAATGGGGCAAAATTGTTAGCATGTGTAAAGGGCAAAAATAATATGGGGCAAAAATAACCCTGGAGAATTACTGACTGTTTTGAGCATACTTAATGTATGAAAGAAAAAGAATAAATCTCCATCACACAGCTTTGATAGGCTGATTATAATGGCTCAATCCTGAGAGACAGGTATACACCGGTGATGACAAAAGGCGAATATCAGTTGAGCTGTTTTTCTGGTTGAAAGTTTAGTTGAGGACAAGAGTTCTCCTTCCTTACCACCAGATGGCAGTTTTCAGTGGATACAGTTTATTGTTGCTGAGGTGTAACAAAATTTATATTTAAAACAAACCTGTTATCGTCTTCACATCCCATTCTGAGAAATCATATAAAACGTTTTTAAGATAAACACATACAGTCAAACTTCATTGTCTCGAACCTGATGGGGCTGAAAAGAAACTAGAAGATATTGGAGAATTTGAGATTTCAAGGGTATTAAAAATACTTAAAGAATATATTGTTGGGACTTCCACATCAACATATCCATGGTATTCGAGATATCAGAGTTCGCGATACCAAAGTACAGCTGTATTACACATATGACACAGAATCATTTGATGGGTTTTGCAAAAAAGGAATGAAAACACATTTTAACTGTAAGCTGATATACTCTGGATCAACAGTAAATAAAAAGCAAAGCAAAAGTTTAAAAAATAAAAATCAATATTGATCTTGAAACTATACTTTTATGCCCATGATGAATATGACTGGGGCATATAGTGTTTGTTATGTCCTTCTTCTGTCCTTCCATCCTTCTGTTCATCCATCCACTTTGTGCCTAACTCGGGTTTCATTCAAGATATTTTTTGCAGATTGAAGAGAGCTGTTGAACTGCATCAACTTTTTCTTTTAACTTGACCTGACTTTTCAAAAAATTGTGTTTACCTGTAGCTTAGTTTCAAAAAATCCTCTCAAGAATATTTTATGATACCTATGAAGACAGAAATGAATAAATAAGTCCACTATAAATCTAGATAAGAGTAAAGTTGAGAGCAGTGTTGTTTTCCTTCACTTTTAAGTTTATTTTGGACAGTGAATGACTGGATTCGAATCTGAGGTGTCATATTGTTATTCAGTTTTCTGTTTGAAATTGTTTGCTCCATTTAACAAATCTTCACATTATTTCGAGATGACTTCTGTTATATACAGATACATGTAGGTCCAGAACTAGTATATATACATGTACATGCTTTACAGGATTTAAACTTGTTCAATTATTAATATAGATTTAGTTATACAGAGTACATGTAATTTTATGTTGGAGTATACCTTGTAATGTTAAAATTAAGTTGTAAATATAATAATATGACATGCAGATATGATGAATCTTATTAAATAGTTCTATATATTATAGTCCTGTATTACATGTATATATATACCTGCCATATGATTAGTATTTGAATGCTATGTGTTTATTTTCCTACAGAATGGAGTCTGTGAATTTGAGGGATGTCCTTCCTTCTGTAATGCTGACAGGACCCAGTGGGTGTGGCAAAACCACGGTTGCCATGATTGTTGCCAGGCGACTCAATATGAATGTCCATAAAGTAAGATCTTACTAACCTCAGGGTACCAGTAGCTATATACCAATGAAAGAAGATTGCTTATTAAAACTGTTACTCTACCTTGACTTTGAATTTTGTCCTACCTTTGAAAAACTTAACCTTGGTCATAACATTGGAATTAATGCTGACAAGACAATTCGACCTTGAAACAAAATTCTATCTTAAGACCAGTATTTTTATATGTATATGTATCTTGACCTTTAATTGACTTTGACGTACTTTAAAAAAATCAACCCTGACCATAGCTTCTGAATCATTTCTGAATGGTTTTTGGAAGGACTGTAAGGGATCTTATATTTCCTATGTGTATTGGCTGTCACATGAACTTCCAATGGGTACCATTTTTGATCTCTTGACCTTTGAATTTGACTTGCATTTGAGAAAAATTAATCTAGGCAATGAGATACCATATGGAGCATTGGTGTTTAACAAAGTTAAAACATATTTTCTATTGAAAATTTCAGTTACAATTATTCTGAGGATACATATAGCTTTGCAAAAAATAATGCTATAAAAGACATAACGACCAAACCCCCTTTTTCATGCATTTGAACCCCAATATCTAAAATCCATGGATATTTCTGTTTTTTAAGTACCATAAGAATTTATGGATTGACACTGCAGCATATTTTAATTGTTTCAGGTGAACTGTCACAGTCTGTATGGGGAATCATCAGGCTCCATTGAAGCAAGAATCAGAAATGTTTTCAATGCAGGTAATCTGTAAATTAAAGTCAATACTGACAACTGTTTCCAGGATCATACCATAATTATCACAACTATATCATCAGCCAATTGAGTTAATGTTGATGGACTAGAAAAGCACGTGAACAAATACAATGTATGACTTTTTAAATTCAGATATTGTAATGACCTCTATTTCTGCAACCAAATTTTTTCACCTGTTTTGCATATTTTATTTTCAGCCAGTACATTTTCCCCATGCATTCTGTTGTTACACAGTATCCATGCATTAGGGAAGGATAAGGAAAGGAATGTAGAAGGTAAGGTTACTAATAAGACATAAAGGACTATCTCTAGTCCTGTATCGAACCTTTCTGACTGCCAGTTAATATTATCGAGGTAGTTTATCCCCTCATTATCTCTGAGTTTTGTGAGGAGAGCATCAATTAACCCTTGGCTAACGAAGATGATATGCATAATATGTATGACTAGCAGTATATGTATTTATTTGTTCCTGGTATGAAAAATATGTACATAGCAATGTGAGCGTATGAGACTCAAGACTTGACTCAATAGCATGAACACAAAAGTTCAGATTGCTAATTAAATTAAATGTTTATTGTTTCTTCATGTATAATAAAGTATCTGAATTTTCATCTCTTTGTTTAACAGGTATTGGTAGTCTAGCTGGTATGCATTCACTGTTACAATATACAAGCTACATAATACATTTATTTATCTATGATAGTACACTTTAACAATTTTTATCAGGGTAAAGGAAAATAAATGGCTACATGGGCTAAAAATAATTATTTTTGTGTGTTGTATACTTACTTTTCTTTTCTTTTTTTTGGGGGGGGGGGGTGTATGTTCAGTAGAGCAGGTCACATTTTTTTTAATGGTCAGTGGTTTTGGCTTAAAGTTAAGTATACAAAATGATTACCAACTTTGAAAAAGGCCAATTTTATTATGTGTTTTTTCACTTGGTTGATATACTTTATTTACATGTAATTAGCACCAATTTTAATTGTATTTTAACTCTACAATTGGATGCATGTGTCCCTTCACATAATATGGGTGTTTGGTCAAAGAATAAATGAAAATTGTTTTGTATACTTTTTTTCATGTGAAATACTGTAGAAGCACAAATTTTCATGGTGATCAAATTTCTTTGATTTGTCATAAAAAAATTTTCTTGGGCATTTAATTTCGTTGTTTTGAAAGTTACTCTATTCAATATATAGACATATAAAATTTCATGTGGGATTTAATTTTGTTCATAATTGTTAACAACGAAATAAATGAAATTTATTCCCCCACAGACATTTGTGCTTCTACAGTATCCAAATGTTTTTTTAGAAGACCTTTTTTTCATTTTATACAAGCCGAGGAATCAATTTTTGCCTTTTTTGCTTTTTGCTGATAAAGCATTCATAAATTAAACCTTCTTTTATATGTCAAGCATTTGCAGTTGGTTTAAAATAGTGTTTTATATTAGAAACTTAAGGAAAGTGTCAAGAGAGGAAATAGTTTGCTCCATTGCCAGCTAAACTTTCAGAAGGATATTTTTAAAGTTTGTATCTTTAGAAATGCATTGTATACTTGCCATGTTTTTGTAAATGATAGTAAATAAGTAAAGTAACAGATTATTGTCATTGAAGACCCCAGAGTGGCAGGTACCTTCAAGTCCTGTGTGGTCAAGTTGCGGAAGGAATACATAGAGTATCCTGTGGTTGTCATAGGAACGACTCACTCCCCAGGTCAACTGGCAGCTGACATCCATGAGGCATTCCTACATAAAGTCAACATAGAGGTAGGCTTGACATTCCTACATGAAGTCAACATAGAGGTAGGCTTGACATTCCTACGTAAAGTCAACATAGAGCTAGGCTTGACATTCCTACATAAAGTCAACATAGAGGTAGGCTTGACATTCCTACGTTAAGTCAACATAGAGGTAGGCTTGACATTCCTACATAAAGTAAGCATAGAATTAGGCATGACATTCCTATATAAAGTCAACATAGAGGTAGGCTTGACATTCCTACATAAAGTCAACATAGAGGTAGGCTTGACATTCCTACATAAAGTCAACATAGAGGTAGGCTGGACATTCCTACATAAAGTCAACATACATAAAGTCAACATAGAGGTAGGTTTGACATTCCTACATGAAGTCAACATAGAGGTAGGCATTCCTACATAAAGTCAACACAGAGGTAGGCTTGACATTCCTACATAAAGTCAACATAGAGGTAGGCTTGACATTCCTACATAAAGTCAACATAGAGGTAGGTTTGACATTCCTACATGAAGTCAACATAGAGGTAGGCATTCCTACATAAAGTCAACATAGAGGTAGGCTTGACATTCCTACATAAAGTCAACATAGAGGCAGGCTTGACATTCCTACATAAAGTCAACATAGAGGTAGACATTCCTATATATAGTCAACATAAGGTAGGCATGACATTCCTACACAAAGTCAACATAGAGGTAGACTTGACATTTCTAGACAGGAATATTAAACCTAATATGATCATAAATTTTCATAGTTTTGAAGTTCTTTTTTAATATAATTTTATTTTTTTTACAGGTTCCCAATGAGGATGAGAGAGGGGAGATTATGGACGGTCTGCTACAGAACGTGTCTTATTCTGGCGATCTCTCGGGACAGTATCTGGCTCAGAGGACCGCTGTAAGTACGCAGAGGTTAAAACAGAAAATTTAAACAAAACAGCTGGTTACTTTTAATTAAAAAAATGTGGTTAAATAATAAGATAAAACTTTTAAAAATAATCAATTAGTATTTGGTCAAACCTTATTCTCTCATTCTTAATGGGGCTGAGAAAAAATTAAAGATGTTCAAATACATGTATTCATGATATTGAGGTTAAAGTTATGACTGAAAATTTGGTAAGGAGTTCCAATATAGTATACAAGTACATGTACTTAAGAAAAAAATATACAGTATGGATGTCAGTACTTTTGTAACACTTGTTTAGAAAATAAAGTATACAGGGAAATTTTCGCCCGTTTGATTTTCGCTCCTTTTGCCCTAGCCTTGGTTGGGCAAATTCAAAGAATATAGTATAATTTCTTAAACAGAACTGTGATTGGGCGAATTTAAGATCGATAAAAATTGTTTGCAAGTGTTAAAGGGCGAAAATAAAGCATGGCAAAAATAGCCCTGTATACAGTAGATACTTTATTTTCTTGAAGCATACATTGTTTTGAAGTTTGAAAACAACATCCAGATTTACCCTGTGTAATTTTTCAGGGATTTGTGCTGGGTGACTTAGTTGCACTTGTAGCTCATGCCAAGAGGGAGGCTTACAGATCAGTATTAAAACACTGGTAAGGCAATAATCAGTTTCAGTAAAGTTTCAGTAAATAATAGGAATGAGAACAGTATATAAACAAATCAATTATACCTATCTAGTATGATGAATGTTAACAAGATTATGATGTTTTCTAGTATGGGAGACAGGAATTTGTTGCCATGGGAAGAAGAGGAAGACATTGCCAGTGTTGGAACAGTGGTACAACAAGATCACTTTGTCAAAGCTCTAGACCAACTTCAGGAGGCTCACTCAGACACCATTGGAGCCCCTAAGGTAGGGCATGACCTCAGACACAATTAGAACCCCACAGACAAGGCATAACCTTAAGCACCCATTGATTTCTAACAGTTTATGAAACTCCTTAGATCACTGGAGATAAAGGAAAATTACTTTATGTCATGAGCTAAAAAAAAGATTTTAAGGCTAAAAAATATTTAAAGATCAACTTGTTTTATTTAGATTCCAGATGTTTCATGGGATGATGTTGGAGGACTGGCAGATGTGAAGTCAGAAATTCTTGATACGATACAGCTACCATTACAGTACCCTGAACTCTTAGCTGCAGGACTGAGACGATCTGGTAGGATTGTATTGGATAAGGGTCTAAAGGACACTTATTGTAAAAAAAAATTGAATATTCATAAACTTTTAAGATAAACCTGTTTCTTTAGAGATCTCTTCAATACTGATTGCTATTCTACAGGTATTTTGTTTTATGGTCCACCTGGAACAGGGAAAACACTTCTGGCTAAAGCCATTGCAACAGAATGTTCCTTGAATTTTCTGAGGTAGTTCTTGATGATGTTTTGTCTTACTTTTATGATTCATATACCCCATGTATACTAAATTATTTTAAACAATAAAATGCTTTATTTGTTTGTTATTACTGGAATTAACGGAAGCAGCTGTTGCAGAAAAAATACATAACCTGCATGTAATTTTTCTGCAATAGCTGCGACCATTAATTCCAGTAATAACAAACAAAGAAAGACATTTTATTGTTTATATTTATATCTGTTTAAATAATCATTTAAAGTGAATTAAAAAGATAAATTATTTTATTAATGATGCGAACGTCTTTATACATTTCATTGATGGAACTGCCACTGATCAAGAAATCTGTACAGGGGATATGCCTAATGTAGTTCATGCAGTGATTAACGCAATGGGTTTTCTTAAGAAATAAAGGAGAAAATATTCAGTGGATGTAAATATTATAACATTAATACTCTCTTTTAATTAAACAGTGTTAAGGGACCAGAGCTAATTAACATGTATGTGGGTCAGAGTGAACAGAATGTAAGAGATGGTCAGTACAGATTACTTTTTTTTTTTTGGAAATTTCTATTAATTTAATAAACATGCTGAATAAAAAAAATTTGTTTTTGCATTTTATTGTAGTATTTGAGAGAGCCAGAAGTGCCACACCTTGTGTCATTTTCTTTGATGAGCTGGATTCCCTTGCCCCAAATCGAGGGAGGGCTGGGGACTCTGGGGGTGTCATGGATCGTGTGGTTTCCCAGCTTCTAGCTGAATTAGATGGTCTCAATAAGTCATGTGATGTTTTTGTGATTGGTGCTACTAATCGCCCAGATCTACTAGATCCAGCATTGCTCAGACCAGGCAGGTAAATGTCACAGCAATATTTACTTGTATAATATTATCAATAGTATAATTTTGTTTGTATTCTAGCCTCTGATTGGTTAATATCCAAATAGGAACACAAATTTATCTATGGGGACACACTCCCTGAAAACCAACTGCATCATCTGCATCCATGCAATCCTCTAATTCCAATCTTAGGGGTTCATGGAAAATTCCAGATTTAATAAATCTACCTTTAATATCAAACAATATCTCGATCTTACCACATGTAAACAAACATGGCTGCTAGGCCTATGCATCAGTTTTTATCTCCCTCACTCCTGATACTATTATTGTATTATTGAGTGGAATATATGAATTCATAAAAATCAATGAAATCCCCCCCCCCCAGTTGTTCATTTAATAATTTTAAAATTAAATTATAAGGTATGACTCTAATTCTGGGCCAAATTATTTGAGTATAATATATTTATATTTAGCTTAATTTACATTAATTATGAGCTTTTGAGGAAATTTTAACAGTTTCAGTTTTTCCTTCCTGGAATTTTTTTTTTATTAGCTGTTTTGGAGAACATGGAAGTTTGTCTTTCTTTATGACAATATTAATATTTTCTGTTTTAGATTTGACAAGATGTTATATCTGGGGATTCCAGAGGACAAGAGTTCTAAACTTAATGTGCTAAAAGCCCTGACAAGGAAGTATGTATATACAGCTGTGTGATATAGTGTATTACCTAGGCATCTTTTCATCTGTGATATCTGAACTGTATATTGCATTAAAGACACGAGTTATTAACATATTCATAATCTTAATTTTATCATAAAAATAGTTTTGGATATAAAAATTGTTGGAATGATTAATTGATCATTTCAATAATTTAAAGCCATATATGGCGTAACTGATCAAAAAATAAATTTTTGAAAAATACAAAATTAAGTAAAGAAATATAGTTAATACATTTAAATTAAAACTTTTCATACAATTCTGAGCACGGAGAACACCTCGTTTCAACTAATAATACGATTTTATCTTCTCTGTAATGAGTTATTTAAATCTTTTGTATTTTCAGAGGACAAGAGTTCTAGAAAATGTGCTAAAATCCAAATTAAATTGTGATATCTTTATAACTTAGACTTAGATTTTGTAATTTACGGAAAAGTTCTATCTTTATATAAAGTAATGACACAAATAATAAGTTTTTATAATTTTAGTCTAATAATTTTCATTATACATATGCCATATATGGCTTTAAGTGTGGAACACATGTACATGTATATATAAGAAGTTTTAGTAGCAAAAAGGAACAAATTATCTGATCAAAGTTGTTTATATTTCTATAGATTTCAACTGGCTGAGGATGTAAATTTGGATGATTTTGCAGAAAGATGTCCATCAAATCTAACAGGGGCAGATTTTTATGCACTCTGTTCAGATGCGATGCTGAATACAATGAAGCGCAAAATCCAGCAGTTAGAAGCAGGTAAACTATTGAAAATTAAAACAAAAAAGATGCATTAATTTTCTCTGCAATTCACCGTTATGTCTGGTGTCTCTTCTTTGCAAATCAAGGTTAAGGTTCCTTCAGATTACCTGGGGTATTTCCCTTGCTTCCTGGAAGATGTAAAGTTCTATCTTAAAAAACCTATGATAATCCTGAAGTAGTCTTACAAGGTTATCCATTGAAAAAATTAGCGAGCTAGCACCCAATTACATTCTAGATGGGGAAATAATACAAGCACATTTATTTCTTGAAAAATAAAAACAGCATTTGAAATGCAAGCTCTTTGTATGACACAATGGCAAAATGCTAGTGTTACTTATCTCTATACCTGAAGGTTATGGCGAATTATTCATCATTTATTTTTTTTTGTTTACCTTGCAGGAGAGAGTGTTGATGAGACCGTGATACTAGTGTCACAGGAGGACTTTGATGAAGCTTTAGAAAATTTAAGTCCATCTTTGACGGATGCTGAAATCCAGAGATATCGTCAGCTGAGAGATTCATTCTCCAACGACAAAGATCGTCAGATTCATGATAAACTAGTCACTGGTCAATTACTACCTGACAATGTAGCCTCATAGAGCTACAGAACTTATGTTTTGTGACTGTGATATATTAATATATAATTTCAAATATGTATGTTTTCAGCCGTAAATAATAAATAAGATGTAATACCAATAGATTTATATCAGTTTATAACACTTCTTAAGCAAAAACACACATTGTATTTTGACCATACTGCTTATAGTTATACCAAAACATCAAATTTAAAACTGTATGTGTACATTAAGAAAAAATGAAAACAGTTCAAAAACAATAACACATTTTATTCACAGTCATTCTACTAATGCCGCTGTGAATGATCTATAACAGTGTTATATGTTTAGGATTTACACCAATGATGAACCCAAGAGTGTCCCATACTGCTAACTCTCTGTTCTTCAGTAGAATAGATGCTGGACCATCAATTTTAACAACACACTGACAGTTTTTAATTTCTCTGTCATCAGCAGCAAGATATTCAGAAATGGATGGAACCCAATGAATTTTCACAATGGGTGTTTCATGGGGAACACAGAAAAATTTCAGACAGTCCACCAGTAATTCTGTTCGTAGTTTATATCGATAGACATTGAATTCCTTTGTCATTTGAAGAACCATTTCAATTACAGAATCTTCAAAGACCTTTGTGGCATTTTCTATGTATTCTACAGTGGCAGAGTATTTAAATTTTCTTTGCAATCTTGCTTTATTGGTTATTTCAGTAGTGCGAACTCCGTTTCCTGCATCACTGGTATTGTTACATGCTATAACAGAATCACTTTTGGATTTAAAAACTCCATTATTGATTTCACATTCATCCAGCTGTTTTTGTTTGACATACCATGCTTGAATATCTAACCAGCACATTGGAGCTTTTATGTCCACTTCTGTTCTTAAATATGTTGAATCAGATGTACCAGCACTTAATGTCATTGGCAAGTATTTTGGGTATGACTTGACAAAGTACTTTTCTCGAGGCTGATTTCTTTTCAACTCTGAGGTGGAATTTCTGAGTTGAGCCATCTCCAAATCCAGAGTCGTGTCTTGGAGGGGGAAAAATATGAGCACAAGAGATTGGGAATTGCTTTCACAGTCTTTTGAAAGTTTGAAAATGATTTGCTCACCTACAAACGGAGATTTTACAAAACAAACATATTTCGTTAAAAGTTCAATTTGGTTATGTTCAATGTCATCAATACTGAATACAGTTACAAGATTTTGTCGGAATCGGATGAACTGCGAATCGAACAAATTGTTGATTTTGTGATTTTTAAAGGAAACCACACTTTTTGAAATTTGTTCAGATTTTTCCTTGAATATTCCCTGGAAAGGTTGTAAACGTTTACAGATGACTTTTACAAATTTAGAAGCTCTTTTCTTGTACTTATCTGTTTTTCTAACGGTCTCGTAAGACATCGTCTTACTTTCATTTTCGAATGTTCGCACGTGTGTTTATTTACAGATGTCGCTTTACAGAGTCATAATCAATCGAGTGTTTTAAAAAATGTCTGTTTCAATCTTCATAAAGCATTTGTCTAACATTGATGACTATGGCGACTTCTAGTCAATCCATGTGTGAGGGGAAAAAGAAATCGTCAGATGTAACGATTAAAGAAGGAGACCATGTGATTTTAAAGAAAGGAAAGACAGTTCGAGTTTTCCAGATCCGAAAGAAACGGTACAGACTATACTTTATCAAATATAAAATTTTGTAAATGGGCTTAGTCATACTCACGGAACACAGGCCAACAGGTCCAGTACAATCACTGGATTTAGCTACGTAGGTAGAATTACCTACATAGCTTTATTTATCTACCTGAGGTAGCTTTATTTAGCTATTTCAATGCAACTTTTCAAAGTTTTTCTTTTTGTTAAAAAGAGACAAAAAGTCGCAATTCAATGACTAGTAATATTTATACTAGGGAGGTTTTAGAAAACAACCCAAAGCAGAGATAGTTTATACATTACTGCATTTGGACAATTTAGAGCAAAACGTGTAATTCCATTGTTTGGAACTGGATTTCTTTGTCATTTCATTCCAAGAGTAACTGTTCTAACTGTCATACATAGCCTCAAAACTTTCAGAACTTTGATTGCAATTGCGCAGAAAAAGACATTTCTTCAAGAGTGATTTTTTCATGAATTGTTTTCAGATGAGTTCAAAGTTGAAAATGATCACTGCATCAAATTAGGATTTTTTGCACGTCCTGAGAAAAATGTTTTTTTTATAGATATAAATTGATCTGGTAGCTAAATAAAGCTACCTCAGGTAGGTAAATAAAGCTAAGTAGGTAAATCAAGCTACGTAGCTAAATCTAGTGATTGTACCAGACCTGGCCAAGTAATGGGCACACAAATACAAATACAAATATTTATTGGCATATGAGTATATCTTCTTACACATTATTTTATTTTGCGCTATGCAATATAAACACATTATTTTATTTTGCACTATGCAATATAATTCCAGGCCATTATTGGAGTCTTTTTTTCCAATCTGCAGTGCTATATCACTTGATTTCTTTTGATACCACTTTTTCTTAATGAAACATTTATTTAGTTTTCATTTCTGTTATGTGTTACGTTGATGTCGTATCATGTACAGAGATATATGGCTTGACAAGATGAAGTTTACCCTTGATGGAGCTATTGGTCATGTCTATGGATCAAACTTTGAGGTCAAGAGTGGACAGATGCATAAGATACAGAAAACATTTAAAGAATCAGAAGTTTTAGGTAATGTAGACCAAATATTCTGATATCTGGCACAAGGGTATTAACTGGGAGAAGCTTACATAATCTATAATTCATTATCTCCTGTTAATTGGTCATTATTTTTTACTACAGAGGAAATAGTTAGATTTTTATACAGGTAATACAGGGAATTTTTTCACCCCCGTTTCATTTTTGCTTTCATCGGGTGATCCCAAGTGGGTGAATTTAGAACTGATTGAATCATAAAAGACAGCATTAACTCTTAATTAAACAACAGCTGAGTCTTGGCAGTTGGCACATATAAAATGGGACAAAATTGTTTGCTAGTGCAAAAGAATAGAAATAATCAATTTAGTCAGTTTAAAGTATTTCATATATGTTTCTATTTGTTTTGAGAACTTTGAATGCAGATTCATGGTATTAATATTAATGTTCATCAAACTAAGTATTTGAAAAGCTGTTTTGAGAAAATTTTTTTTACATGTATTACTGAAAAAAAAAACTTTTTGCATTTCAAAATTGTTTACTTGTGCAGGTTCTGAGAAAGGAACAGATAACAGGAACTTGCATGATCTGGACAGCAATCAGAAGTTATCACGGGAAGACATCGAAAAGATGAAAAAAGAAGGAGCTAAAGGAGAGGTAGAGCTGAATGATTCGTATTTAATTTGAATTTTAGAGAACATGCATATGATATGTTTTCCAATATTAATGAAAGCAGAGTTTGAAGATCATTGTTTTTAATTTATATCAGTACTTATGAAGTCTGTTATACATGTTAGTAGGTAATTAATTTGCTCATTTACATGTGTGTTTGGGGGTAGGGGGTACTACAGCTCATATAATAGTATTATTCTTTATTGCTTAGCTTAATACATATGTATTATCACAATTATCTTACAATATATACAGAAAAATCTGAATGGTGTGGTATGGCATTTCTATACATGAAATACTGTGCCTATATTATAAAATAGACTTGCTTGGTATTTGCTTGATATAAATAATGGTTCTTTCTTTGAATATACAGGAAATCATTGGGCAGCTTATAGAAAACAGTACAACTTTTAAAGGAAAGACAGAGTTTGCTCAAGAGAAATGGGTCAAAAAGAAAAAGCAAAAGTAAGGGCTGTAATTTAAAAATCTGAAAACATATCCTCGAAAAAGTGTCACATGAAAGCTCTCGTTTAAGTTTGGAAATGTGACACAGTTATATTCTAGATCTGGCCAAATACCGTAAACTAAGAACCATCCTTGCAATGCCAGTGGTCTTAAGTCAACATGTGGCTGTTGGACCCCTGGCGTATTTCATTCAATAGTTGTGGGCTGACTGAAGCAACATTTATTGGAAACATTATACATCTTGATTATGTCGCCCCTAACGAAGTGGGGGCATATTTTTTTTCTCCAGGCTGTTTCTCGAAGATTGCTGGGACAATCTTTCTGAAACTTTCCACAAAGGACGATCACAGGTTGTATTTGTGTTTTGTGATCATTCATTTTCAAAATGGCTACAGTTGCCATGGAAACCTGCAAGAAGTGACGAATTTTGTCCGAGAGTGTTCTCTCTGGTTCCTTGGACATTTGTCATGAAACTTTATTGATTTAATGATTAGTATCTGTAAAAGGCAACATGTTGACTTAAGACCACTGGCATTGCAAGGATGACTAAAGTCAGACTAGTCAAAATTTCAAACCAAAAGAAATTTTGAAAAAAAAAATGGATTTATTTATATAAAGCAAAAATTCCATCATAGGTGTGCTATTCAAAACTTTTAAGAAAAATTCATAGCATAACTTAAGATATTGAAAATAGAATATTTGACTTAAGTTAATTCTAAGTTTATGGTTTTGGGGCCTGTGTTAGGCAAAATGCAAAAAAATGATATTCATTGTTTCAGACATGTGGCAGAGTTTACAGTGCTAAAACCAAACACCAGGTTAATGTGCCAGATGTACCATGAAAAGTCACCAGCAAAGATTCTGTAAATATAGTTTTCATTTGTACTTCAGGACAATCAATGAAAGAAGCTTTATGATACTAAGTATCAGAATTTGTAAACCTAATCTCACAAAACCATCATTAAACATCTACCTAGGTATCTGTCAGTATTGTGTCTTTATGATATTAATAAACCATTAATATACACGTTATTGCAGTAACATTAGAATGGACACACTGGCACAGATTCTGACCTATGGAAATGTCCATGCCTATACAAATGTAGCTGTGGTGGACACATGCTCGGGACTCGTAGTGGGGGCTGTCATGGAAAGATTGGGAGGTAAACAATTTAGGTGTGCATGAAAACTTATAACTCTCAAATACTGATAATGCAGGTCATTCAAATTCCTAATGTGTTCAAATACTTTAGAAATTTACAGTCTACTTTCCCACCTGAACGGTGAACGAACGGTGAATGAACGCAGAGCAAACGGTGAGTGAACGATGTGCGAACGCTGAACGCAATTTGGTGAACGATGTGTGAACAGTGAGTGAACGCAGAACGTGAACGGAGCGTGAACGGAGCGCGAACGCGAGCGCAAAGTGAACAGTGAACGAACGGTGAACGCAAGATGAACGATTTATTCGGAATGCCTCCGATCTTTTCCTTGCATTGAGATTATTCTATAATTCTAATTCCAGGTGCTTTAATATAAATAAACAATACATAAATAAATAAATAAATAAATAAACATTTTTTCTGTACATATATGTTTTAAATCCATATTTTTATAACACAATTTTAATTGCCGTAAAACATGTGTATTTGTTACTGAACGTGTGTAGATTAGATATAAAATTAATCTATTTATATAGAAAATATGCTTATTCTTTTCACTAATAAAATAATGTGGACTTCTGAAGATAAAACTACTACTTATAGAATGAATTAATTACACTGTACGCGGTTGAAACAACTATTCATGTATTTCCGTGCCAAGGCGATTCTGAGTAAAATAACGGATTTTTTTTCATTCACAATTGTCTGTTGACATATTGCATAAAAATTCTCGTTTGTTTTAAATTCTAATGCAAAAATATTCCATATTTGTGTGTCTTTTGTATTCTTTTATGATGATTATTTCAGCTAACTTCTACATATATCTGTAAACATTTCCCGGTGTCATATAATATATTGAACCCCGCGATATTTTGAACCCGGGTTCAAAATATCGCTGCGAAATATTGAACCCCCCTATAAAATATTGAACCCGGGGTTCAAAATATTATGGCCATAAAATATTTAGTCCCCCTGCCCTTTTAATTTAAGAGGGAGGTAATTGGGTTCAAAATATTATGGCCATAAAATATTGAGTCCCCCTACCCTTTAAATTTCAGAGGGAGGGGGGTTCAAAATATTATGGCCATAGAATATTTAGTCCCCCCATCCTTTTAATTTAAGAGGGAGGTAGGGGTTCAAAATATTATGGCCATAAAATATTGAGTCCCCCTACCCTTTAAATTTCAGAGGGAGGGGGGTTCAAAATATTATGGCCATAAAATATCAAACCCCTCTGTCCTTTTAATTTAAGAGGGAGGGGGTTCAAAATATTATGGCCATAAAATATTAAACCCCCCTGTCCTTTTAATTTAAGAGGGAGGGGGTTCAAAATATTATGGCCATAAAATATCGAGTCCCCTGCCCATTTAATTTTACAGGGAGGGGGGTTCAAAATATTATGGCCATAAAATATCGAACCCCTCTGTCCTTTTAATTTAAGAGGGAGGGGGTTCAAAATATTATGGCCATAAAATATTGAACCCCCCTGTCCTTTTAATTTAAGAGGGAGGGGGTTCAAAATATTATGGCCATAAAATATTGACCCCCCCTGTACTTTTAATTTAAGAGGGAGGGGGTTCAAAATATTATGGCCATAAAATATCGAGTCCCCTGCCCATTTAATTTTACAGGGAGGGGGGTTCAAAATATTATGGCCATAAAATATCGAACCCCTCTGTCCTTTTAATTTAAGAGGGAGGGGGTTCAATATATTATGGCCATAAAATATTGAACCCCCCTGTCCTTTTAATTTAAGAGGGAGGGGGTTCAAAATATTATGGCCATAAAATATCGAGTCCCCGTGCCCATTTAATTTTACAGGGAGGGGGGTTCAAATTATTATGGCCATAAAATATCAAACCCCCCTGTCCTTTTAATTTAAGAGGGAGGGGGTTCAAAATATTATGGCCATAAAGTATCGAGTCCCCTGCCCATTTAATTTTACAGGGAGGGGGTTTCAAAATATTATGGCCATAAAATATTGAGTCCACCTGCCCTTATAATTTTACAGGGAGGGGGGTTCAAAATATTATGGCCATAAAAAATCGAGTCCCCCTGCCCATTTAATTTTACAAGGAGGGGGGTTCAAAATATTATGGCCATAATATATCGAGTCCCCCCGCCCTTTTAATTTAAGAGGGAGGGGGGGTTCAAAATATTATGGCCTTAAAATATCAAGTCCCCTGCCCATTTCATTTTAAAGGGAGGGGGGTTCAAAATATTATGGCCATAAATATCGAACCCCCCTGTCCTTTTAATTTAAGAGGGAGGGGGTTCAAAATATTATGGCCATAAAATACCAAGTCCTCTGCCCATTTAATGCCTCAACCAGATTTGTGAATTTCATGGCCAATGTGTCAGGGGTTTTGCGATTCGGTGTAAGGAGGAAGGGGAGGGGGGGCTCTTTTGATTATGTAGTGAAAAATACATTAATTCTTTGAAAGTCCTTTGCTACTGGGTATTATGTCTATGATCCAAGTTTATATATTTATGAGGAAGAAAGGTGCATCTAGCAAAATAGTTAATTTCATGCCCCCTGGGTCAGGGGTATCAAAGGGCGGGGGGGGGGTGTTACATAGTCTGAAAATAAATTAATGCTTTGAAATCTGCTCTTTGGTGTCAATCAACCATTTATGATGAAATAAAATCTATGATAAAATTTCCAAAATTTTGAAATATGTGGCTCCAGGGTCAGTACTTCCTTTGGGGTGGGGTGCACAACTAGTTATAAAGTGGAAGTGCATTTTCTCTTTGTTACTCTGATCTGCCTCTTGGTATTAAGTAAATAAAGTAAGCATGCTAAATTTATAATTATGATAAGCAATGGTGCCTCTTTCAAAATTGTGAATTTCATGGCTTCTGGTTAAAACACGAACCAAATTCAATTGTTGGAAAGTTGTTACGTGATACTCAGGTGACCTATAAGGCCCGTGGGCCTGTTGTTGATAAAATAAAGAAAATTGTATGTCAAAAAAAGTTTCATGGTTTTATATTAAAACTCAGAATTGGAAAAAATAATGTTATTAAAAAACAACAATCAAAATTTTAAAATCATTTTTAAAAAATATACATTATACAAGAGAAGAAACTAATTAATAAACGTTTAGAATTTATAATTTCTATTGCTGTCTAATTACAATTTTGGAGCATAAAAATTACATTTCTTTAGATTGCATATTTTAGAAAATCTTTAAGGACTTATAGCTCTTATTTTCTTTTTTCAGAAAAAGGTGCACTAATTAAGATTAAAAAAAACTCTGAATCTTTTTTATTCAATGGTCATATTGCCACTACAGAAATTTTAACTAGAATACATACAGCAAAACTCGTTTAGTACGAACACGGATATTGTGAATTTACGGATATAGCGAAGTCATCTTGGATCCCCAGCTATATAAATTTAATGAATTTCTTATACAGTTATAACGAATTACGGATATACATGTAACGAAGTAATTTCATAGGTCCCAGTGACTTCGTTATAACCGAGTTTTGCTGTATACTATATGATGATATAGAATTAGTGAAAAAAAAGTTATGGGTAGTCCGAAAAAAATTAAATTTACTAGTTAGTCATTATTTTTTAAATTCACCCACATACAATAAATTGCTAAAAAAAAAAAAAAAAAATAGAATTCCTATTTTTAAATATTCTATGGCCATAATATTTTGAACCCCCCTCTCTGTAAAATTAAATGGACAGGGGGACTCAATATTTTATGGCCATAATATTTTGAACCCCCTCCCTCTTCAATTAAAAGGACAGGGAGGTTAAATATTTTATGGCCATAATATTTTGAACCCCCTCCCTTTAAAATTAAAAGGGCAGGGGGACTCGATATTTTATGGCCATAATATTTTGAACCCCCCTCCCTCTGAAATTTAAAGGGTAGGGGGACTCAATATTTTATGGCCATAATATTTTGAACCCCCCTCCCTCTGAAATTTAAAGGGTAGGGGGACTCAATATTTTATGGCCATAATATTTTGAATCCCCTCCCAGTAAAATTAAATGGGCAGAGGGACTCAATATTTTATAGCCATAATATTTTGAACCCCTTCCCTCTTAAATAAAAAGGACAGGGAGGTTCAATATTTTATGGCCATAATATTTTGAACCCCCCTCCCTGTAAAATTAAAAGGGCAGGGGGACTCGATATTTTATGGCCATAATATTTTGAATCCCCTCCCAGTAAAATTAAATGGGCAGAGGGACTCAATATTTTATAGCCATAATATTTTGAACCCCTTCCCTCTTAAATAAAAAGGACAGGGAGGTTCAATATTTTATGGCCATAATATTTTGAACCCCCCTCCCTGTAAAATTAAAAGGGCAGGGGGACTCGATATTTTATGGCCATAATATTTTGAATCCCCTCCCAGTAAAATTAAATGGGCAGAGGGACTCAATATTTTATAGCCATAATATTTTGAACCCCTTCCCTCTTAAATAAAAAGGACAGGGAGGTTCAATATTTTATGGCCATAATATTTTGAACCCCCCTCCCTGTAAAATTAAATGGGCAGAGGACTCGATATTTTATGGCCATAATATTTTGAACCCCCCTCCCTGTAGAATTAAAAGGGCAGGGGGACTCGATATTTTAAGGCCATAATATTTTGAACCCCCCTCCCTGTAAAATTAAATGGGCAGGGGGACTCGATATTTTATGGCCATAATATTTTGAACCCCCTTCCCTGTGGAATTAAAAGGGCATTGGGACTCGATATTTTATGGCCATAATATTTTGAACCCCCTCCCTCTAAAATGAAAAAGGTAGGGGTTCAATATTTTATAAGGGGGTTCAATATATCGCAGTGAAAAAGTGAACCCGGGTTCAAAATATTATGCGATATTTTGAACCCGGACTCAATATATCGCGGTATCAAAATATTATGCTACACCGGCTGTGATTAAACTCGGTCATTAGATGATGGAAAGAGACATTGAAATTATTTGTAATAGATTAAATTTTCAAAACTAAATAAGTAATGTGCTGTCATATTTTTTATTGAACAGAGAAATGTATGAGAGAGAGAGAGAGAGATACATCCCCTAAATTCTCAGATATCTGTTGTATCAAATAAAAATTCTTATTATTCTTCCTAAATATTCCAAACAGTAAAGGTAATCAATTTCTTTTAGATTAATAGATCCATTTGACAGACAGTAATCATTGGCTTTTATTTTCCATCATCAAGTTCACAAGGTTCACAGGAAGTCCACGTGCAGGTAGCAAGCTTGTCCTGTCAATCAAAATAATTCGACACAGTGGAGGTGTGGAAATCGCGTTTCACCGAACATGCCAAAGGCAAAGAGTCACTTAGTATTTCCAAGGAGTTTGAATATTTTTCCCTATCATTTCTAGATCTGATTTTTGCATTCCTGCAGAAAAAAATAAATAAAGAATGGGAATATATACTTGGAAGGAGTAAGTTTTAAATTGAATTTGAAACATATTCCCTGCCAATTTAAAATACTACTGTCGGCACAAGTGTATTCTAAAATACTGTTGTTTAATGACTGTTTGATGTTGGTTTTAAGACTGATTTTCTTGTGTTACCATACAATATTTATTAAAATATACTGAAAATACTCACTAAAAATTTTATTTCGGGAGAAAAAGGCACCGGGGGGGGGGGGGGGGTGTCTTAATTATACTGAATGGCAAACATATATTTAAACATATGTTTAGGTAATAGGTATGGCGAAGGAAGGGATTTTCCTTCTCTAATAATAGACTATTTTAAACAGTTGGTCTTTTCTAAAATTCAGAATCACACTATCAATTCAATTAGCTCTAAAGATATTTAAGTAACTGAATATTTGCAGTACTGTTCATAATTCTCAGACCTACGTGTAGTTTAAAATACGGGTTACTGTAGAAATAATTTTTTGTGTATTCTTTTCTTGTGAAAGACTTGGATTAATTATTATACATCCATTAAAGATTTGTCGTCTTTAAAATTACAAAAAATGCGTGATGCATTTGTACATTGCCCTTTTTAAAAATTAATATTTTAGCATCGTTCTAGATATATGTAGGTACTTAATGTATTATTTTACAGGGAAATTTCATGAAATAAGTAACAGCTTAGTTATAATAATAGAAATATAAATATCATAGATAATTTTTACAATGAAATAATTATTCTTCAAACACAATATCAAAGTTATTTGATTAACTTGTAAATCCTTACTTAGTCTATCAAAAAGATAAGTCCTTTCACTTCGGAGTTCCGAATGACAATGAAGACTGAACGATAAGTGAACGCAAAGTAAACAGAACGAAGAGCGAACGGTGAACTTTTTGTGAACGGTGAACGCGAGCGCACGGTAAACGGTGAATGCAATACTGTGAACGAAGAGCGAACGGTGAACACACGCTGAACGATAATTATACTGAATGGCAATCATATATTTAAACATATGTTTAGGTACGGCGAAGGAAGGGATTTTCCTTCTCTAATAAGTGAACGGTGAACGCAAGGTGAACGCAAAGTAAACGGAACGAAGAGCGAACGGTGAACGTTTTGTGAACGGTGAACGCGAGCACACGGTGAACGGTGAATGCAATACTGTGAACAAAGAGCGAATGGTGAACACACGCTGAACAAACGTTGAACGAACGCTGAACGAACGGTGAGCGAACGGAAATATGGGAAAGTAGAAAGTTTCAGGGACTGTAAGTGTGCTGATTTCTTGATATTTATAATTGAATGTAAATTCAGTCAAGTGAAAGGTTAAATGCTAAATATACTGGTTAATCTTCCACAAAACATCAGTGGTCGGGGATATGCATTTCCTCATGTACTTTAAGTAGACAGCATTATTAAAATTTATACTTAAATTTTATTTCACATCTGAATTAGATATAAGGAATCAACTGTCTAGTTTGTTGGTAGTTGTTAATAATTATAAATCTTTCTCTTCAATGTGATTTAGGGTACGGAAAAGTAATACACTTCCACCCTGGTGACAGACCAGTAAGGTTTGTAGATCTTTGTATACTTCATGTGTTTCAGGTTACTGTATTTTCGTTAGATAGTCATTGACTCTTGATTGGCGAGACAAAATTTTCTCAAATTGTGGTAATTGCTATATTTAATCTAAATGAATACTATTATATGCAAGAATTAAAATTTCGAGAGCACATTGTCTCACGTAATTACCTATGCAAAAAAGTTCTCGCGAATAAAAAGTGATTAACAGTACATTCCTATCTGCTCTGAAGATTTTGTAAGTTTCTCAATATTGAATACCGTATAAGTAGAATTTGTAGCGGGGATTTAATTTTGGCATTATTAGCGATGGTTCTGAGATCGCTAAAATTAAATTTCACTAAAAATAAACTGTATTTAATTTGCAATAGCTTTATTAATGAGTATTTTCAAATCGCTAAAATTACATCTCGCTAAAAATAAAATACCCTATTTTAAAGACAAATCGCTAAATTTGCGTCTCGCTAAAATTTCCACTTACATGTATTCGGTATAAAACTTTTTGTCTTTACAGACCCATTTTGGATAATCTAGATTTTCCAGAGGAGTTCCTGGACAACTTGTATAACTTTCCCTTTTGTGAAATTGACTCTTTAAAATCTGAAAGTTCTGAAGAAACAAACAGTGATACTCAAAGTAAAAACTTATCTGAAGAATCAGTACAGAGTGTTCAAAAGGGAGATAATTCTTCAGATACAAATGTAAAAAACAATGGGGATAGTAAGATGACAGATGTATTTGATGAAAGATTGAAGTCAAAGAGAAGTGCAACCACAGAGGATGAAGATAGAGATAGTGCAAGTCCAGCAGCTAAAAAGATGAAAACAGAGGTAAGTCATTTGTAATATTGTAAAATCTTCCCCCCGATTTTCTCTTGCTTTTAAAGAATTCAAAATATTTGGATGGATTATTATTTTTGTGTATTTTCTAAAATAGTTGTCAGGGAGAGAAGCAAACAAAGTTTTGAATAGTAAAAGGTTATCTGAGGCCAGAGATCTGCTGCTGAAATGCAATATTGACTGGTGAGTGGACAAAATATTTTGTTTGATCACAGAGTGATAAAATAGACAACAAAGCAGATTTGCAAGTGAAGTGGTCACCCCCTCAATTAAGAAATATAAATAAATAATGTATTTACACATGTTTAATCCAATATATTATGGTCTCTATATAATAAGTATAAAGAAAAACAGTTTTGAGAAACATTGAGAATTCAATTTTGCTGATTTCAGAACATCCCTTATTTACCACCCCTCTCTCTCTCTCCGACATTGTTTTTATTATTTTTTTCTTACCTTGCCAGCTCTAATAGTTACACTTCCTTGTTGATTTACATCAATGTCTTTATTAGTTTGATCGTAGCCAGCAAATATAACCCGACTCCACTGGTTACTACCCTGATAGAATATGTGGCCACATCCAGACCTGTTGTTGTATACAGTCAGTATCAGGAGGTAGGCTATTTACTTCTCTATATGGTATCTCTATCAGACCTTCCAGATTGGGCTAATTAGAAAATAAAAACGTATTAGAATTTATGCCCAAGGTAATAGACAACAGAATATACATGTAGGTAGAGATGGACATCCTGAGTTGGATAAAGAGGTTGCTGCTGATTACAGTGTGATATCTCATCTCTCTAATTAAAACTCTTTTTGATAAAATAATTGTCCTTTATATCACACATGTATCATTTTAAAAAATGTCATGTTTTCTACATGTATCTATATCTATTATTTTCCAACAGGCTGTAATGGATGCCTATGCCTATCTGAGAGAGATGGGGTGTCTGGTGAATTACAGGGTCTCAGAAACCTGGCTCAGGGAATATCAGGTAACCTCCACAGACCGTCTCAGGGAAACTGTGACTATGTCCTAGATCTAGGCTGCACACAAAGTATTGAAGTTCAAATCTATAAATCCATGAAATTCTCTTAAATTGAATTTTTCCAAGTTAATGCCAGTGGGTTTCTAGTTCCCTTTATAATATCCAGATATGTGTGTCTTTCTATCTGAAATTCGTCTATGTGAGTTTTTCTTTAAATATAACAAATCCTGCCAATTAAAACACACCTGTGATACAGTTATTTGTCTATCAGATATCTCTATCAGATAAATGTCCATTTGGGATTTTTTTAATAACAAATCCTACCGATGAGGAAACATCCTGTGATACAGATATTAGTATCTATCAGATACTTGTATCTGTCTGTATGTTGATTTTTTTTCTATATAACAGATCCTACCAATGAGGACACACCCTGTGATACAGATATGTGTGTCAATCAGATATCAGTCTCTATGTGATTTTTCCATGTAACAGATCCTACCAATGAGGACACACCCTGTGATACAGATATGTGTGTCTATCAGATATCAGTCTCTACGTGATTTTTCTATATTACAGATCTTACCAATAAGGACACACCCTGTGATACAGATATTTGTGTCTATCAGATATCTCTATCAGATATCAGTCTGTTTATGATTTTTCTATATTACAGATCCTACCAATGAGGACACACCCTGTGATACAGATGAGTGCTGGAGGTGGATATCTTCTCACAGCCACCACGACAGTGAAGAAACCAACCGCAGCTGCCACAATGTCATGATCAGTTGTTAGCAATTTTATAATAAATCTAATAATTAAGCACAAAATGTTAAGTTTTAGTATTAAACAGTGGGATAACCCTTGCATTTCATTTTCAGAATTTAGCATTGAATTTCCAACAATCTTTGCTCTACTGGTCAGAGACCAGAAAAGCTTATGCAATAGTAAGGTGTCCTTTGTCCCTTCGCTGCACTCACTCTGTGATCGGAAGGCCATGAGTTCGAATCCGCTGTGACTGACCTGTCGATAAAAAATGGGTTGAAAGTTGCAGGTCCTTCAGATGAAACCATAAAAACCGAGGCCCAGTGTTCCGGCAGGCATTGGCAGAATTGATTGATTGACTGTATGTTGTTTAACATTCCTTTAAGAAATTTTCACTCACATTGAGAGGTCATCACATTAAAAGCAGCTGTTCTGATACGCTACCGCTCATGTAAGCGGTAGCGTATCAGAACAGCTGATTTTTATCAGATTGTTTTTATGTCATACATGAATTTTCTTATGCTGCAAAAATTTGCATGGAATTTTAAGATTTTGATGGGAACCCCCCCCCCCCCCCCAAAAAAAAAAATAAACTAGCAAAACATTCTGTTGTATCCAAAAAGAACTTTATGTTGTACATATGTATTTTCGCCCAATAAAATTCTAATTTTAGAAAATCTTTGAAATGTATATTGCATACACAATTTGAATTGATTAAACAAGAGGCCCATGGGCCTTATAGGTCACCTGAGGATCATGCAACAACTTTCAAATGATTGAATTTCGTTCATGTTTTAAGGTAGATGCTATGGCATTCACAGAGGCTGGCACCATTGCTAATAATCACTATAAACTTAGCAATTGCTTAGTTTAGTTACTTAAAGGGGCTGGGTGGTCATTTTTAAACTATTTCAATCTCCTTTAGAAGAAGAAATTCATATAGATATACAAAAATAATCAAATTTTAAAACTAATATGTATGAAATTTTTCTTTGTCAAATGATAATTGACATCTAAAGATATCATATCTAAAAAACTAATTTATATCAGGTGGTTAATGTGTTAATTTGTTGACCCCAAGCCTCCTTTATACCCATAGACAGGGTATAGGCACAAAAAGTGCATATCAACTAATCAGTAATATTCAGCGATAATCAGAAGTTTCCCTACCACACATGAACCCCTGACCCTAGGTCCACACATAGCAAATTTTTGAAAAGGCACACTTGCTTATCAAAAATGTTTGATTAATACGCCCAAGGAGCAGATTTCAAACAATTTGCTTTCAGTATATAAGTAGAGCCCCCCCCCCCCCCCCTTCTAAGGTATCCCTGACCCAGGGGCCTGGAAATTCACAATTCAGGAAGAAGAGCGCTTGCACGTCATAACTATATAGGTAGTTCATCTGCTTATTACCCAGGAGCAGAGAATTAATGTATTTTCACTATAATAATATAATCATTATAGATCCCCGCCCTAACACCAGAACCCCGACCCTGGGGTCATGAAATTCACAATTTTGGTAGAGGCATTCTTGCTCATCATAACTATGTATATGGCACGCCGATTGGTTCAAAATTATTTTCTGCACGACCTTAAACAAAAATTACACGAGTAAGTAAAAACTTACACAAAGTGAGGAAAGTATACACAGAGTTATTGAAATTTACACAAACTACAGAAAAACTACACAATCAACAAAATATTTACACGATATAGTGAGAAAATTACACAAACGTAAAAACGAAAACTGCACGAGTGAGAATACAACATCGACATAATCATGATAATATACGACGCATCCTCATTGCGCACATTTCATTAATATTCATTAGAGAACAGCTCAGGGTGGCTTGGATGCTTGAAACATATACCTATAAATTTATCCTAAAGGATTAGTAACGTGTTAGTAATATTTATTTAATCTTTTTAAAAAGGATTCAGTCTTTTGGAATTCCGCTAGACTCTCAAGAATATGTACAATGTGTTTTATACATGTATAAATTTACACACAATCTTAAGTATGGAATGTGAACATCCCCGATTAAAAACATTCTACACATGTATAAATAACGTAAAAGGGATGCATATTACCAGTTGTGTGTTTAATTGTTAGATTTTTAAATTGTGTCATTCCTCTATCATTGCCTATATAGCAATTTCTTTTGAAAGTGTAAACTATTGATATAGTAAAGGTCTTTATAAAAATTAATAAAAACAGCATGTGATGTAATACAAGACAGTTAACAACAAATCAAACTCCTCTCCTCCACCACCCACTGTGTGTACGTCTGTAATAATTAAGGATGTGGATGCGTGACCTTTTCATATAGAGAGAACCCTCCCTGCTGGTGAAGGAATGAAAGACACCTGTACGCTAATCGATTTATAGTTATTTAACACATCAATAATACCTTTTGATTAAGGATTACCAGCAATTCATACAGAGATTTTGAAGCATTGTTGCGATCATCTGGGTTGTGGAATTTGAAAGAAAACTGTTTGGAAATAAACAGTAAAAAATAAAAATAAGGCAAATAATTGCGCAACTTTAAGTTTTATATTGAAACGATCGAATTATTAATTTTTTTTTATATAACTATGTATTTGACAAAGTAGAACATGCTGTCTTTAATTTTGAACAATGTGTAGTGATTTCATAAATATCTATGTAAATGTAGAAAATTGTATGTAAATTGTAGTCGTTTTAGTTATGTGAATTTAAGCTTAATATATTAAGTTTTTTTTATCGAGTTTGCTTTGAATAGGTAAAATGCATATAAAGGAGTTAAAATAATTTAAAATTATAATATACAGACACATATAATATCGGTAAAGCATCGCTTTTGATAGTGGGGAGGGGGTTAGAATTTTTTTTGACAAATTACCTGAAAAGCCTAATTGCATGACAAGCGAAAAAAAAGGCGGGGGGGGGGGGGGGGAGTGTCCAAACTCGAAAATCCTATTTCGTTGAGGTAGTGAGGCACCTTCAATATTCCACCTTTTTTCGAAACACATAAGCATATATTACCTAGATTTAAACTACTAAACAAAAAAGAGGATGAGGCTTTTCAGTGGATATTTACGATAGAAAAAGGTTATGTTTGCCAAAAAAAAGAAAACGAAAAGGGGGAGGGACATGCCCCTCCTGATGCTACTGGCTGAAGTATTTTTCTATGAATTTAAGCGTACACGAAGTAGTTGATCGAAATCAGGATTGCAATTCAACCTAAAACTATAACGATAAATTTTGTAATTAACCGTCCATATCCTGGAATTTGCGCTCGACCTAACAACATATAAAAATTGAAGATTAGGGGGTCAACCAGCATATAAGGAAAATTTACTGTTGCAAAGTCTATAATACTCAGAAAAAAGTAGGGAGGAGGGGGGGGGGACTTCTACAGGCCCGTTTGCCGATTAATTTCATTTTATGATTATACAGTCATGTTCTTGTTATAATGGCCATAGATTTGGATTAAAAATTGTTATTACAAAAAACTTAAATTTAGTGTTTGGGAAATAATAAATTATTAAAATTTTATGAATACGAATTCTAAATGTAAAGAGAATTTGTTGTCTTTGAAAATATTTGCAAAAATTGTGCTCTATTTGGAACATGATTTATTTGCATATTTCAAGAATGATAAAACAAGTTCTATATTCTTTCCATTTATTATCCATTCCCATTTTATTTATGTGTAACATTGTATGTATAGATGTATTTAGTAATTCACAATGTTTTAAAAGTCTTGGTGTGTCATTATGGTCCAACGATTTGAAACTTAAATAAATTTATATTTGGACTCCAATCGATCCACGAGCCAGGTCCGCCACTGATCATGTGTTTTTCCATAGCCAGGATTATTTGAGTAGAGTTTTGTTATTTCATTTGGACAAATTTAATTAGCAAAACACAAAAGCGCATGTACATAGGGTATATATGTATATTCTCCGTTCATCTGGTCCTTTTTATTAAAAATGAAAACATTTATCAAGTAATCGCCATTACGAATGAGGGCAACGCTTACAAGAAATATCTTGTTTTTATTTCGAAGTTTATAACTGAAAATATGAAATATCATGGAAAAAATCATAACAAAAAGTAGGCTACAGATATCCAACCAAAATTGATATAGGATATTTTATAAGTTTGGATACATATGTAAATAGAAATAAAATATTTTTATGTTTGACATTAAAAATACGTTGTGTACATCAAAGGTTATCCTCACTTTTTAAATTTAAAAATGTACACATTTGTATATATCCAGCCAACTGAATATTTAATTTCCTATTCCGAAATGGGGAAAAAATCTCCTCAAATGATTTGTTAAAATCAAGATCCTTGTCAGCCGTACTGCACGTTCATCGTTAGGTACTTTTAGTTCGGAGTCAAGTGCATCATACGCAAGGTTTTTTTTTTTTAACCCCGCATTGTAGCACACACGTACCGATTCATTCTTGTTACAATTTTTGTCCGGCATCATATAATACATCATTGATCTCGGTCAATATAAGAAAAACATTGTATTTTCAAAAAGCTTTTAAATACTCTCGCATAGATCAGATGGAAACACTTCATTCGAAATCGGATTGTAAAAAAGCAACTTCCATTCTCGATAACATTTTAGCTTAGCATACATGAAGAGATAAAGAGTACAGAAAACCAAGAAAACTATGAATATTCTATTCATCTAAATATTCGCAGTATAAGAAACAAATTAGGTTATTTGAACTCATTCGTCCATGACTTTGATATATTGTGTTTTACTGAGACCCATCTTGACCATACCATATCGAATGATAATCTATTATTAGATGGTTTTAGTAATATAATACGAAAAGATAGAAATTGTTTTGGGGGAGGTGTTATGATATATTTTTCAAATCAGATACATGTAACAAGACGCCAAGAATATGAACCTGCAAATTTAGAGTGTATTTGGTTAGAAATCGAAAACCGTACCTGTAAATACTATCTCTGCTGTATTTATCGACCTCCAAACGCTGATGCCAGTTTCTGGACTAAACTTTCATGGAGTTTAGATAAAGTAGGAGAATCCTCGAGTAAAATCATACTTGTGGGTGATATAAATGTAGATTTGTTAAATACTCCTCAAACACACATAATACGAGAAATAGTTTCAAATTCCAATCTTATCAATAACATCCACGTACCAACGAGAATTTCTAACAATACACGCACGCTTCTTGACCCAGTTTTCACTTCAGCTGATATTCAGGTACATGATTCGGGTGTCCTTGAAATTGACCCAGCTTTTAGTGATCACAAAGCAACTTATATTGCACTAGCCTCGAATATAAATTACAATCGCGCTTACGAAAGAAAAGTATGGGATTATAAGAGTGGTGACTTTGACAAATTAAATTCCTTAATACAAAATTGTGATTGGGATAAATATTGTCACGTTGTTATTTAGGGTTACACGTGAACTTGTGTTTTATTTTGTTTATTAGGGGAATCACTCGCTTGGGGAAAGTTAAACTTTATTCCTTATTTGGACTGCTCTACACGTGGGGCTACTTCCTGGCTTGGATTGCCCTCTACGGTGGCTGTAAAAATCCAAAGAATAAAGAAATAATATATTTTTAATAACTGAAGTTTATTCTTTGAAATCGTCGATGAAAATGCATTAATAATCTTATAAACAAACAGTCACCAGTTACAAATACAATGTAAAATATTATAAAAATATGTTTTAAAGTTAATCCTGGCGACTGTACAGAGGGTTGAACAATTTAGGAAAAATCCCTCGGTAAAATGAAAATCTAAACTTGCATAGATATAATATAAATCTAAACTACTAATGTTACAGCGGACAGTCTCGTAGCATGAATTACTAAACGGAGAAAATTTGGAAATAAAACATTATCTATTTTACACTTTTCTTTTAACTTTAATCATAGATCATTGAAGTGGTAACTAGTCCGAAATAAAATCATTTAAATATAAAGGTAATCATAACAATCAAAAGCTTGTGTACTTACAATCTTATCTCTAAAGTCATTTTACAATTTACTTTTCCAGCGCTTTTCGATATAAACAAATAACATTTTTACCTCCTTATATTAAAGAGCGCGCAATGAATATAATGGCGCTAAATTTCAAATTACAATTCTAAGAACGCTACATTTATTTGAGACTGTCGCTAAACCCGTTTATTACAATAAAACGCACAACTATAAACTATACAAATACTAAATGAGGCCACTATGCATAAAACTTATGCAACAATAAAATCTTTAGGGGAAACTTAACTCAAGCTCAAATTTAGAATCAATTTAAGAAATAAATAAAAATACTTATCAATAAAATACTTAATATTTTAAAAATTTATTTATGAGCATAAAAAGAATTGCTTTAATAGAAAACGAATTAATTAACTAAAAATTATATGATTTACATACCTGTAAAAATCCAAAGAATAAAGAAATAATATATTTTTAATAACTGAAGTTTATTCTTTGAAATCGTCGATGAAAGTGACCAAGCTTGGGCGAATTTTCACCGACGATTCCGCGTCTTTGGATTACAGGATTTTAGCCAATCAAAATTTAGAATTTCTTAATGAATAGCCGAAAGTTGTAAAAATTTTCCAAATAAAGACGATTAATTAAACAGAGTGATCACGTGACATAAAAATGACCGCCACGGTAATTGAGTAAACTTGAACACCTGGGCTTGACTTCAGACCCTTAGGCCTTCTTAACAAAAAGACAAAATCACAAAAGAGATTAACACTATTACGCAATTATTTGATTATCATGCTTATTGAACATCTGACTCTAAAAACTCATAGGTAAATTGTTTACCAAAATACAATAGAAATCCATTAGCTGGACATGCCAATATTTGTAAAAGAAAGTCCTTTTTTTCACTTGTACAAAAACTGTTTTATATTGAATAAACAGGAAAACCTTGGGTGACAAATTGAATTCTTACACTGTAAAATACTTGTACTTTTTGTTAAATTCTGACACTAATTATTCAAAGTCAATCTGTTTTCTTCTTATACATGTACGAGTTTCTTTTCTTAAACAAAATACATATTTTACTAAATATAATGAAAATATATACAATTTATTGAATTTATTACAATTTTGTTTTATTAAAATGTATCTGTCTTCCCACAAATTTTTATTAAAATAGAAAATTAGGTGTTATGACTATTTCCCCCTTGCTTCAATTGCTTTCGACCTCGAAACCTCAAATTTAGAAAAAAAGAAAACATTATATACAAAGTAAAAGATATACGAAATATACTGAAACCATATAGTGTATATGGTTAAAAATATGTCAACTGACATTAATCAACTTGAAAATGATAAAGTATCAAAAATATATATATACATGTAATATATACAAACAAAATGATGAAAAGCTATTTATTGTCATATTGTAAGGGGAAAAACTCATAATGATCAGTCTTGTGATTCATGGCATAAAAAAAGTACAACAATGATACAATTGTAGAGACAGCTGGTTCCGAAAAAAAAATTTAACACTAACATATGACATTTGAGAGTCTATGGTGATGCTGACTAAAAAGTCAAAGGTCAATTCAAAGAATGAGCATAGTTATGGTGCATAAGAACTACATAGGCGCTAAAAGGTTGTTTGAGAATTTTGGTGATTTTATAACCTGTGAAAATGTTGACTGAAATGACTGTAGGAACAAAAATTGTTTTGTCTGTGCGTTTGTCAGTAACACCAAAATTGAGCCAATTTGCATAGATTTTAGTATAAGGAAAAGCCGAAACAGATATGTCACCTATATTTGGTTTTGGAATTTCATAGTATGATGGACACAGTGACAAATGCATAATAGGAATGAGGACACA